AAATCGCTTGCTTTTTTTGACGTGAGCTGACAAAGTCAATCTCTGAAGCCTGTTCCCCCGGCCGATCCGCGACTGACCGCCGCCCGGCGGCCTCGTTTCAGACGTGTTCCGCGTGGCGCGGCCGGCCGGCGTCTGGGTGGCCGTGCTGTGCACCTATGTGGCCAGCGCGGTGCTGCACGGCGCCAACTTCCAGCTGTCGGCCGTGCTGCTCTCGCTGGGCCTGTACACGTTCGCCGAGGACCGGCTGCGCACCCAGCTGGCCGACGCGCTGGGCGGCTGCGTGCAGGCGCGCCGGTGCGTCCAGCCGTGCCGCCGCCACCGGCTGGGCGCGGCGCTGTGGTCGGTGCGCCTGCTGAACGCCGGCCTGGCGCTGCTGGCCGCCTGGCACCTGGCCTACCTGGGCATGGTGTTCGACGGCTCGCCGACCGGCTCGGCCGGCTACAGCTGGCGCCACACGCTCGGCAAGTGGGCGCTGCTCGGCTACAGCAGCCACTGGGTGGCGCTCGGCACGCTGGTCGTCACCTGGCTGCTCTGAGCGGCGCCCGCGCCGCCGCCGACACAGGTCAGCAGGGGCGCCGGCCGCTCAGTCCGGCCCGGTCAGAGGGGATGGAGACCGGCAGAGAGGGACGCCGGTCTGTCCTTCATATCGCTACTTTAAACATAATTCGTATTTAAGATGCGTCTGGCGATTGCGAGATACTAGATGTTTGGTATGGTCAAACTAGAACCCGGTCAGCTGGCAGAACGCGTGAGGTGATTCAGCCCAACCGATCTTCATGGGCGACTCCTGAATGACTAGGTTTGCTGCTATAATGACTCGAATCTCCCCGTTCAACGGTCTCAGTGTCAGATCTGATCATTTGGAGCTGCTGATCACGCTGTGTGTCTGTGTTGACTGTCAGTTTGTCTCTCGGCTGGCTGAGTGGGCGGCCGTCACCCGGTGGGTTTGTGGGTCAGTGACGGCTGTCCATCAGTGCCGTACCGGCGGGCCGGCTGGTCCGCATCAGTACCGGGGGAGGAGCCGAGCGGAGTCTGTCAGTGTGTCCAGTGTCGCTGTGGGAAGCCGGTGGCGGGCTCTACGTGTCAGCTGTCCGGGATCGGTACTATAGGCATTATTTCGACTTTCTTAGGATCCCAGCGTCTATGTGTATTCAGTGTTGCTTTCTGTTGCATGCCATGTTTCCTTAGAAGATTCATCGTTGCTAGTACGGTTTATTTGGATCACAAATATCATGTGCATCGTGTGTATCTATGTTACAGGTTTAACGTAACATTGCGACGTTTTGAGACGTGCAGCTATTTTAAATATCGATCTCATAAGATTCGCGTAGTGTAGTAAATCCGGCTTATCGGTACTCCCTATGCATTTATCCCAGTTTAGGGGATTAAGCTGCAAAAGTTATTATGTCCCACGGTTTCGCTAGGCCTTGGTGCAACTTTCTGTAGTTCTTTGCTACTTCCGGCGGATGCATGCAGAAATATGTTTGATCGGCATCCGCCATTTCCGTATACCGCAATGAATGTGTAGTCTTGTTGAAATTGGGCATTTTTTATTTGTTTATCTGCTTAATTTGCTATTATGTTATTCGCACGTAGTATTTCTTGGTAGAATCCTGCACTGTATTCGATCTCTATCATTTGATTTGGTCTGTTTTACGCCACCTTTACCCTGGCCAGACTCCGAAGTCCGAGGCTCGGAAGGTACTTAGCTAACCCAGATGCCAGTTCCTTTTTCATTGTTACGTTATGATTTAACAGCCAGTTATAGTCGTCTTGCCATAACATGTTTTTGTGGAATCCAAGTAATCTCTACGAAAGCGCCTCATTTAAGTCATGCTTACGCAGTGAAGTGCATCCATCATGGTCAAAATGGAGGTTAGAGTATGAGAAATGAGAATGGCATGAAAATTAGAGAGAAAGTTTGGCAACAGCGTGCTTTACCCTGCCTCGATTGGTAACATATCAATTCAGGAGAAGTTCTATTTTCGGCAGCCTACCAGTACATATCTACGCTGTTTATAGCGTGTCGTGTTATAACGTGTGGTGTTGGTGTACTCATCAAAATCCGCATCTGCCGGTGTCTTCTTTACCTCAGTGCGAACCAATAACCGTATTGCTCTCACAAATCGTGATGTAGGTTTAATGTAGCGCCTGGCTGTTCGTCATCTATAGGAGTGCATTCACTGATAATATCCCTATTAGGAAAATGCTTGATTTACCATGAGGATCCTCTTTTGCCGATTATCTCAGCGCTGTACTCGTGTCATATCACCTCTATTGAATGCCGCTTTCGTGTGTGCTTTGTGTTCGATCTGTGTGACCTAGTGCAGCCTAGAGTCGTCTCCATTGAATCTCGCTGTGCGTCGCTGTGCCAAACCGGCTGTTTTTGCCCCGCTGTGCTGTCTGTGATATACGTAGAACTTCCGTGCTGCATGGTGGTGGGTTGTGGCTTTGTCCTAGCTTTTCCTAGCGCTATTGCTGACATGTCTCCGTGAAACGGGAAGGGAATTTGTGCGGTCTGAGAGCCAGTTTCGGCCGGCTGAGAATGGATGGGAGGTGTGAAAATTGATTAGACGGCGGCATTTGATGCCTAGGATTGGAAGCCGTGTTGTTCTGATGGTGGGTGTGTAAAAGTGTCGTGGGAGGACAGGAGTAGCTGTTATCAAAAGACGTTCAATACAAGGTCCTAAGTTGTGTATTTCTTTCGTTTGAAAGTGGAACCAAATGCCTGAAGCTGTAGATATTTTGGGGAGGGGGATTTCGTGATGTTTGATTAACTTACGTCATAACACCCTATTTGTAGCCTGGCGTTAAGTGTGCTTTCAAGTCACAAACAGCAAATTAAGATTACCAACACGTTAACGTGTGAAATGATTAATGAAAATGGTGCATGACATATTTTTGGATCGTCACTGCTTTTCCCGGTGTTGTATCGTCGTGTCGAATAATCCAATCGCAAGCAATACCGATCTTGTATCGTTTATAGAAGAGCAGATCGATTATTACCATCAGGCCATAGTCGTAGTGGGGGGCTCAATCAGGTCAAACTGCATACCACTCGCTTCGTCCGAATGATCCGAATGACTCACGCCTTTTACAGTTCTCTTTCGTCCGACACAAATCTACTCATTCAGAACTTTCGGCCTGGGTTTGCAGAGAGTAAGTACAGAGTGCGTGCGGGGTCAGCCGGTGTGCGGGTGTCGGGGCCCGGCAGCGACCGAGGGACGTCTGTCCATCAACGGGGCTGTGCACGGGGTCAGGTCGGCGGGTACGGCGCCGGCCGCCGGCTGATGACCGACCGACCGGCCCGGTAACGGCCGCCCCGCCGCCCGTCTGGCCACAAGGCCACGCGCCGGCCCGCGCCGACTGACATTTCTCTGAGTGACACTTAGCTGGCCAGTGATGGCCGGTGGCGACAGCCGTGCACCGCGGCTCCTTCGCTCCGTGCGGGCCGGCTCCGAGCGCAGGGGTGTTCACTTGAAGTTGACCTGTAGTTTTAGAAGGGGGGGGGGCATGTTTCGAGCTAGCCAAATATACCAACCGAACAACATCGCACTATGTCAACTGATCGCTGGGCTACAGGAAGGTGTCCTACTCACTGGAGATATGCTGTGCCGTACATTTCCAACGAGACTCGTAAAATGAGTCACTTCATCACTGGAAGTAAACCTGCTAATGAAGGAGTGGATTGGTGTAGACGCCATTACGACCTGCCAAAAGATGTATTCAATTGGGTAGGTCACAATATCTGAAACAAATTTCGATCAGGCGACCTTTGTTGACATCTGGGATTTAAGGCCAAAGAGCACCAAACAGTTCCGGTAACGAACTGCATTCGTTTGTGAGTTTGTCCATGCCTGTAAGTGTAGTGTAAGTACGAGTGTTGTAGTGTAAGTGTGTTGTAGTGTGTTGCAAGTCCATTTGTTGACGCCTGGGAGGTCAAACTGTTGACGATGGTTGATGACGAACTGGTGGCGTCGGTCACGGACCAGGGTGCAGGCCGCAGGGTGCCAGGGCGCACGTTCTGAGTCGTTCAAGGAGCCTGAATATGTGAATATAGTTGGGATGAATCGGATATGAATAGTGGATATGGGCTGAATGTGAGCTGTCTAAGGGCGTTAAGGCGAAAGGCTGCAAGGTGTTTGGTTGAACTCAGGCACTGCCTTGAAAGGCAAATGGGCACCGACGCACCACAGACCAATGCACCATCGATTCACTCACAAACGTTTTCCATAAAGATCCTGTTATATTCTACGTCAATATATTTTGTTCAACATGCTGTCCTTCATAACACACAGACCATAGTTGTCGCCTCCGCGGTTCAGGTATTGCACAACTGGAATATTTGGTACACAGGCCGAGCGTGAGGCTGATAACGGAGCAGCTGACAGCGTGCCCTGTCTTCCTGGTGCCTCACTGGGGCTATAGTCAATATTACACAACGCATCCCAACAACGGATCAGCACGTAACTGTCTACATATACACCACCTGCCGCGTCCCATTTACTCTCGCCGGGGACTGAAGTGAGTATTGGTGAGACGCGCCGTGCGGTAATTAAATAAATAAATAAACGAAAAGCTCGATCCAGAACGTGGCCGTCGATTACGCTTGAAACAAATAGCAGACAGGTTACAAGATCAGACTCTACGCGGTGAGTCATCAGTCAAGTCCTCTCCCATTTGCGGTTGCGAGTCACCTGATCGTCGAAGGAGCTCTCTTGGATTTGCTGTTGCGGCGAAACGCTGGGCTCAGTAGCAGTATTGGTGAACTCTGTGAAGACTCACAATACACAATAGATAGATGCGTGACTTAGCGGGCTACGCCGCCACGTAAGGTCACACTTGTTGGGCGCAGGTGGGACTGAGGAGGTGCACGTTCCATCTCAGATAAGGGGTGTTGCTTGCTCTGTGTACGGTATCTCAGATAGGTGGGTCCGGGCGCGCGCGGTCACCTAAGGGTGGGTGCTGGTGTGAGTAGAGAACAATGGGGGGAGGGGGGCTCAGAGTGGGGGCGTGTAGGGGATAGTCGGAGGGGGCCACGGAGCGGGTGTGTGTAGAGGGAGGGGTAGTGGTATAGTGGGCCTCAGAGCGGGTGGGTGTAGTGCAGCCGGTCCAGGTAGGGGGGCAGCCGGAGCGGGCCGGCCGCCGAGTGGGCTCCCAGCAGTGCCGGGAAGGGCGCGCCGAGCGGCGGCAGCAGCGGGTAGCCGGCGGTGAGCAGCGGGCCGCCAGCCGCCGCCGGCCGGTACGGCTCGCCGCCGCCGGACAGACTGGCGACCGGCTCGGCCTCGTCCGTACCGCCCGGCTCCGACTCGTGCAGCTTCCGCGTGTGCTTCTTCAGATCGAAGTTACGGCAGAATCCCTTACCACAGAGCTCGCAGATGAACGGCTTCTTCTCATTGTGCGTGTGCATGTGGAAGGTGAGGTTGTAGACCTGGTGGAACGCCTTGCTGCAGATGTGGCACTTGTAGGCCTTCTCGCCGCTGTGCGTCAGCTTGTGGTTGCGGTAGTTGCCCTTCTGGTGGAAGCCCTTTCCACAGAACTCACAAACCCACGGCTTGTATCCGCTGTGGATGCGCATGTGCGTGTTCAGAGTGGAGCTGCGGTTGAAGGCCTTGCCGCACGTCTTGCACTTGTGCGGCTTCTCCGAGGTGTGGATGATCTTGTGTCTGCAGAGGGTGGACGCCTGGCGGAAGCCCTTACCACACACCTTACAGACGAACGGCCGGGCGCCCGTGTGCACGGGCATGTGGCGCGTCAGATTGTAGTGGGCGTTGAACACCTTGCCGCACTCGGGGCAGGTGAAGGTTTTGCCCTTGGCGGCTCCGGCTGCCGGCCGGGTGGAGGTGGCCGCCGCGCTGGCCGGCGGACTGGCGGCCGGCCCTTTCTCGGGACTGGCCAGCCGGGCGCCGACCGCCGCCTCCGCCGCGGCGGCCCCCGGGTACTGGCTGAAGGCGGACGGCTTGGAGAGCAGCGAGTAGGGCGGCAGGGTGGGCAGCACGCCGGCCGACGCTAGGCTGTAGTACTGGTACAGCCACGGCGAGCGGTGCAGCAGGCTGACGCCGCCGTCGGCGCCCGGCGCGCCGCCCAGCCGGCCGGCGCAGGGCCGCGTCGGCAGCGCCGCGTCCCGCTGCGGCCCGGCGCCGTGACCCTCCGACTGCGGGCTGCGCTCCTCCGCCCGCTGACCGTCCTCTGACTCCTCCTGGAGCTCCTCCGAGTCTCTGCTGCCCTCGCACGGAGTGCCGCTCGGCTGGGAGTCCTCCCCTGTTGCGTCTGATTCCTCTCCCGGCTCGCTCGACTGGCGGTGGCACTCTGTCGACCTCTCGTCCTCGAACTCCATGATGCTGGCGATGCTGAACTTGAGCCGCCCGCCCCCGCTTGTGGCCGCTTGGGCAGGTGACCTCAACGGAGACGTGACGTCATCGGCCGCCTGGTCACCCTCTGACTTTTGTGGAGTTGCCATTGTATTGCCCTGTCAAAGATGAAGGAAAACGTCAAGGTTATCTGATATTGGTAGTCGTTGGTCAAACTATATAAAAGCTCAGCAACCGTGCTGGCCGCCTCAAATCGAGTGAAATGTACGCAAGTCGTAAGTATGGTCGAACTTCATGCATCATGGAGCCCGAGAACGAGCGGCCAGAGTCAGAGTGCGGCCAACAGCCGAGCGATATTGGGAGCTACTAGTTAGATTAGTAATATAGATAACGAGGTACATGGGACATCCCAAGTCCCAAGATGAATAGAAATGTACCCGAGAAAATCGGGTCACCATCAGTAACAGTGCCATGGTAAAGTGTGAACGTTCATCGTAGAACTTACGAACCTTGACTAGATCGGGCTAAATTAGGTGCATCGGGACTCAAAGAGTCTCGCTGGATCTGCTTGACGCTTGGCATCCGTCGTGAAGTGTCCATTACGCTTTCCACTGCATTTTTAATTTGTTGGGTTATGGATTAGGCCCGTTCGCCGTATTTTGACCACATCAGGGTCGTGGAAATTGGAACGAGAAGTCAGGGGGAGACATTGGGCTTATTCGACCACCGCGCCGACTGCATGCGCTGTAGCGGCTGGGTCTTGCGTTTCCGTTACAACATTGGTTCATGGTTGCAATTCGGAGGGGTTTATCTCTCGGAGTTTATTTCACCTCCAGAGGTCAGCTCGTAGGCGCGGGAATCGGGGGCAACTTGCCCCCACAACTCCATAGGGCCGTGGGGCGGTGCCCCCACAACTTTGAGACGGAATACCGCACTTTTTTGCAAATGTTTTCTTTTTTGTTGGAAAAGCAAAGGGATGAAAAATAAGTGGCCTAAAACCGGTGATAAAACTAGATTTGGGGTACCCTAGGTTGATCTTTATTATGGTGTGCCCCCACAGTCTGAAAGTAGTTCCGGCGCCCCTGGGTCAGCTCCGGGGTGACCGTCTGGGTGGCTGAGTGGGCTGTCCCATCGGGACACTTGGGGAACTCGTCAACTCACACCTGGGGACACACCGGTGACGGGTCCCAACAGGACGGCTTTGCCGTTTCTGCGCACCAGCCAGGTCTCATCAGCACGACGCATCAGCGTGCATTAGCTCCTTAGCTTTACATTTTGTCTCCCCACGATCTTGAAATGGTGTTGACCGATAGCGCACTGACGAATCCAAGGAGGGGCATTTGGGGCAGTGGCGCTAACCACTACCCTTAGCGCTCGACATTGGCGAAATGTTGCCGGGCGGCTGGTTTCCCCGTGAAAAACGTGAGAAACTTTTTTTTCTAATTCATGAGAAAACTTCACAGCAAGGCACGAGCAAGCGAAATTCGATTACTTTTTCATATATAATTGGGGAACCATTTGAGGTTGTAGGTAGCTAAGCCCCTCCCCACTGCAACGTCTGACGCTATATATATATTATATTTGGGTACCTTCTGGAAGGCACTGGCGGATCCAGACTTGCGTTTTGGGGGGGGCCAACTCCTGCAAGTAACCAAACCTAGGGTACCCCCAAATCCTGTTTTCTCATCGGATTTAGGCCACTTATTTTTTCGTCACAGCCCTGAAACGATATTTTTTTAAACTAAAAATAAAAAAATAGAAATGGTAGCCCACCCAACCCGAGCCTAAATATTACTTTGAAAACACTTCAAATTGCTTTTGTCGACCAATTAGCCCGCTCCGGGTCGGTGCGTGGCGCAGCCTTCGCGGGCTGGGAGGTGTCGGTTGGACCCCCTGCCGTTCGGCCCCTGATTAAGCTAGAGCTCGCGGAAAAAAAAACAGGCGTGTTGCCCGTGAGTGACGAGACGAAGCCGATGATACCCGATTTTAAGGTCCTTGGTCATTGGTTGACCTTCCAGGGCGGTGTTTCACGGTCGTGCTGACAGCCGCTGACAGCGCATTCCGCGAGCTAAGGTCAGCCTTCGGTAGTGTTGTGGGTATAGGCTTGTTGATGTCTCCATTGAAACCAAAAGTGCCATCAGCGCTGGCAGCGGCTGGCAGCGTGCCGTGAAACACCGCCCAGGTCAGGTCACAGACCCAAAAGACGGGAAAATCAGGACCTGTCAGAACCTCCTAAAGTAAGGCTGTAATACGTTTTTTGTGCTGATCACAAATTTCATGTTAGTTTGGATCATAGATAATGTCTTCATGCGTTTAGACCATGTCGGGGCAGGTCAGGTCAGATCAACCAGTAGGAGTACTTATGGGCGTCCGTATAGCAGGTGTCCACTACCACTGGCAGCTACGTAACATGATACGAAGGCATCAAAACTACTTCGTAAATGTTCAAATGGCTGCAAAATGCTAAATTCAAAATCAGCTAAACGAAACTATCCTAGAAACATGTTAAACTCGGAAAAGTGCACCGAGGTCATCAAAGGTCAATGACCTGACTTGACCGTAAGGTGACATTGGCATCCGCCCTAATGCGTGGGCATGGGTGGAGAAAGTTTGAAAAAGTTACCCCGGCCGGCGACTGGTAGTCATGGGAAAGACGACATGCTCAAATAGTATTTGTAAACGGTTATCAACAAACCCATTCTCCGTTTAACCCTATTCCTGGCGGGCTCCGCCGGGACAAGAAACTGGCGGGGGGGCCGATTCGGCCCCCCCCCCTGAGATCTCGAGAACGAAGCAAGATAGCGACAAGCGGTAAACGGCATCGGATACGCACGGCCAAGATCTACAATTTTTACTAAGGTCATTTTCAGGTCAGGTCAAAGATGACGTCACAGGGGTCGAAAAAGTCAAAATGGCGGCGCTAGATATGGAGAGAGTTTTTCTCGGATAACTTTCGAATTAGCCAAGATAGGAACAAACTAAGAGCATCATCGTGATCCTCTCGTCAATCTGCATCGAATGATATATATGTTGACCTCGAAAGGTCAAGGTCAAAGGTTGACCTCAGGTCACGTGACCTCGAGGTCATCATGTATATCATTCGATGCGTCTTGACGAGCTGAACACAATGAGACCATCCACGCGTCTGTATCTTGTTCCTGTACGGAGTTATTGGCCAAAAACCTTTGGTGACCTTTGATGACGTCACATGACCTCACAGCTGCCCAACAGCAAAACAGACCTCAAGGTAGTGAAGGTTGATCGTATATGAAGTCATGTATGGTATATGGGGCCATTCCGACCCGTTTTAGTGGTAAAAACAGGGAGTTGATTTTTCCCCCATTGACTTATAATGGGGAGGTCGCGAAATTGACCTGACCTTAGGTCACCGATATCAAAATTCCGAGATATAAAAATTGTACATACTGGTACCCTAACTAAACCCTGAAGAGAAGAAATTGATCGGTCAAAAACTCTAGCTCTGGCGTGATTGCAAACTTTTCTGAGGTAGGGTCACCAAACCGCCTCTGGTGACCTGACCTGAGGTCAGATCAACTCAAAATTTTCAGACATGTTGCGTAGAAGCCTTTTAGGAAAAGTCAGAAAATTTGAGCTTCCTAGCTCAACGCGTTTGGGAGAAATAACCAAAAAACCTCAGGGGGGGGGCTCCTGAGGCCCCCCCCCCCCCGCCAGGAATAGGGTTAATGTAATAATGGATGTTGTGTTTGCTCAAGGATGAACATTTTATCCTAACTCAGCTCATTCAAGTCAGGCCAACAGGTCACATCAAGTGAACTCGTCTCTTTCACTAAGTTTCACGATAGTGTTGGGGGCCGGAGGCGTTGCTAGCCTTAGTCCTCAGTTGATTTTACGTGTGTAGGTGAAACCGCGGCAAGCATTTGTGTGAAATTCAGTTAAGGTTATAATAAATCAGCTTCGCATCGTGGTTCTGAATTTCGCTCCCAGGTCACCTAGGGTCAGGACATCAGGTCGAATTTGCTAGATAACCATGCTTTAAAAGTCTGCGTTCATGTCATTTGCAGAGCTTGGGTATTTCCTAGAAAGACGAAACTTTTTTTTCCACACAAAAATGTTAATTTTGAGTTGTGGCCCTCTTGAAGACAAGCGATTGGTTTTCATGTTCACCTGAAATGTTGCTCGCGAGCGAGTCCTAAAAAAGCTGTCAAATGTTTTGTTTGCAGTGTTCTAGGTCCTCTAAATCACAAGCTGGAAGAAAAGTTGTCAAAGCGCGCTATAAAAGGGAAAATTTGGCTTTTAATGTCCTGTGGTGATTTTGTTTTTGTGCTGGCCTGAAATATGACGAAATTTCTCTCATTATGTTTAGTGCTCTTTCAAACGGCGTTGCCACTCCCCGCCACGCAGCCCAGCAGCCGAGTTTAAAAGGGCGTATAACGCCTACTCTACCTCCCGCCTCAACGTTTTCGATAGCGACGCCATCCTGGTGCCGGTTTAGTTGGGGGAGCCTTAACCCTCGCATGTGTGCGGCGTTTGCCAGCTTCTAATGTGTAGGGGGGGGGGGGTCGGTTGGACCCCCCCCTTGCCGTTTGGCCCCTGATCGAGCTAGAGCTTCGCGGAAAAAACGAGCGTGTTGCCCGTGACGAGAGGAAGCCGATGATACCCAATTTTAAGGTCCTAGGTCATTGGTTGACCTTCCAGGTCAGGTCAATGACCCAAAGTCGGGAAAATCGGGACCTGTTAGAAAGTCGTAAAGTGTGGCTGCTAAGGGGTTTTTCGGGGTGCTGATCACGAATATCGTGTTAGTTTTGATCACAGATGATGTCTTGAAGCATTTAGACCAGGTCGGGTCAGGTCAGGTCAGGTCAACCAGTAGGCGTCGTGACGGGTATTCGTAGTACGTGTCAACCGCCTCTGACAGCTTCGTAACATGTTACGAAGTCACCAAAACTACTTCGTAAATGTTCAAATGGTTGCTAAATTCGAATTCAGCTCCAAAAACTAGCCTAGAAACATGTAAAACTCGAAAAAGTGACCCGAGGTCACCCGAGGTCACCAAAGGTCAATGACCTGACCTGACCTTCAGGTGACCTTGACACACACGGGAGTAACATCAAATAACATGTTTGAACGTTTGAAACCACGAAAAGCTTGCAAACACGCGGCTAGTGCGAGCCGACATACGCGAAATCGCGATTCCGGCCAAACATGGTCTCGGAAAAGAGGTCACAGGTCAAAGGTCATTTGGGTCAGGGTCATGAAATTTTTAGGGTAGGTGTAAAATTGATCAATGCGAGGGTACTGAAAATTTCGTTGCGATCGGCCGCTTTTTACGCGAGTTATTCGCGAAAAACCATGGGGGGGGGGGGTCCATCCGACCCCCCCCCCTACACATGCGAGGGTTAAGCCCCGCAGATCTTCTTCGATGCTACCCATTTTGTCTCACTGATATTACCCTAGACCTGTTTTCTTTTGTGATATTATTGTAAGGTGATCTTACGATAGCGACCCTTGAATATCGTTTTATGTTGCATGTTGATCAAACTTATCGGGCTCAGCGATGAAAATATTTGCCCAGAAGTCCCAAACTCAAAATAAATAGATCTTCAAAAACTTTAAGAGGTAGATAAGTGTAAAGAGAGACACTTTTGTAGGCAGCACTCAGCTTTTTCTCGGCTGGAGACAGGTTTTAGGATTTATAAGAGTGAAAAGAGTGAAAAAGTTACCCCGGCCGCGCCGGGGTTGGCTGAAAGTTACCCCGGCCACGGCCGGGGTGGCCGGGGTAGGTTCTCCACCCATGTGCGTGGGAGCAACATCATATCACATGTTTGAGCGTTTTAAACCACGAAAAGACTATAAAAGCGCGGATAATGTGAGCCGACATACGCCGAATCGCTATTCCGGCCAAACATGGCCTCCAACATGGCCAAACAGTCTCGAGAAATAGGCCACAAGTCAAAGTTCACTTGGGTCAGGGTCATGAAATTTTCAGACTTTGTCACCATGAGGGTACTAAAGTTTCGTCGCGATCGGCTTCATGATACCTTACACGATAACTTCACACGTCGATCGAGAGTTAAAGCATGGATGAAGGAGAACCAGGGGATGAAGGTTCTTTCATCCATGGTTAAAGTGTGCGATAAGAACTTCTTGGGTGAAGACAAGACCAACACTTTTATCAAGCTCAGAGATTTTTAATGATACGGTATTTTCTCTCTACCTACTACGCCCTTCTCACATTCATTTTTCTTAAGTGTTTTTGGGGACAAAAAATATATGTTGTTCCCCTTTCAGGCTTGGGGGCATGACCCCGTGGCCCCCCTGGATCCGCTAGGCCGAAACTAACTAGGTCGTTTTCAAACGGTCTGATATTTCAGGTCATAGTTTGCAAACGGCCGGTGTTTTCAGGTAGTTTCATATGGCCTGACTGGGTCAGGCCGTTTGCAAACGGACCGAATTTTCATACGGCCTGTAACATATATTCAGATTTCGACATCTGTCGTAGCATCAAATGCTGATGTGGCGCACTCAAAAGCCGGAATTGGTCCTTGGATGCCGTAAGGACCCTTTTAAGAAATAAGTGACCCGACTGACCCTTAGAGATTGGCCTGAGCTGTGACCGAAATAAGTCTTTTACCGTTTCGCAGGAAGGGACAAAAAGGTCCCTCATATGCTTCTTGTACAATTACGAAACAAAACAAGTTTTTTTTTCAACGAAAACTCAGTGAGTTTTCCTAAAAAATTTATTGCGCATATTCCGTGAATGAAAAGTTGCCGGGTCATGTCAGGTCAGGCTGCCACAGCAAGTTTGTTAACTTGACAGCTCAATCGATATTTATGCAATAAGACCTTCTCGGGTGACGATAAGACATGACGACACTTTATGAAGGAAGCTAGTAAACCCGGTAGTTTCTCCATAGGCGCGGGAACCGGGGGGAGGGGGCAGTGGTGGCAGCTTGCCCCCCCCCCCCCCAACTCTGGGGCCGTGCGGGCGGTGCCCCCACAACTTTCAGACAGAATACCGCTCCTTTTTGCAAATGTTTTCTTTTTTTGTTGAAAAAGCCAAGGGATGAAAAATAAGTGGCCTAAAACCGGCGAGAAAACTATATTTGGGGGATCCTAGGTTGATCTCTATCATGGTGTGACCTCCCCCCCCCCCCCCCCCGTCTAAAAGTAGTTCCCGCGCCCCTGGGTTTCTCTACGCTATTGAATCACGCTGCTGATTCTAGTAAGTATCTACTACACAACCTTCTCACATTAATTTTTCTTCGAGCGTTTTGGGGGGCCAAAAGATATGTTGGCCCCCTCTTTCAGGCTTTTTGGGCCCATGGCCCCGGTGGCCCCCTTGAATCCGCCAGTGGGGGCGGTGCCCCCACAACTTTCAAACGGAATACCGTCCTTTTTTGCAACTGTTTCTTTTTTTGTTGAAAAAGCCAAGGGATGAAAAATAAGTGGCCTAAAACCGGTGAGAAAACTAGATTTGGGGGGACCCTAGGTTGATCTCTATTATGGTGTGCTCCCCCAGTCTGAAAGTAGTTCCCGCGCCCCTGACTTTCTCTACGCTTTGAATCACGCTGCTGATTCTAGTAGGTATCTACTACGCAACCTTCTCACATTAATTTTTCTCCAAGCGTTTTTGGGGGGGCCAAAAGATATGTTGGCCCCCCCTTTCAGGCTTTTGGGGGGGGCCATGGCCCCGGTGCCCCCCCCCCCTGGATCCGCCAGTGCTGGAAGGTGTCTTGGACCACAACAGTTGGATGTAGCTTAATAGTTGTGAAAATGCGAACACATTTCTGACCCGTCCCTTTTCTAAGATAAGCATCAGTATTCAGTACCGTCAACGTGGGAGCTACGGGTGACCGAATTCAGGGATACAGCTGAAAAGAAGGCCGCTGGCCACCTCTCGGCTATTTGCCCGGCTGGCCGCTGCGGGGCGGGCGGACAGACCGCTGTCCAGCACCTGTCCCACTCACCTGTATCCGCGTCCGGCACCACCTCCGCGGGCAGGCAAACGGTGCGGCGCCGCTGCTCGGCTGAGGCTGCTGCGGCCGCCGCGCTGGCCACGACTGGCCTCACAGGCCGGCGCCACTCCGCCGCCGCGGCCGCCGGCCGGCAGCCAATCAACGCGCCGCTCGGCGTCAGTCGCTCGGCCGCAGCCGGCCCGCCGACCAATCAGAGCCGTGGCCCCGCCCACCGGCCGCCGCCGACTGGCAAATGCAACATGTCAGCGGGCGGCGGGCCGGCCGGCCGCTCGGTGGGGTGGGGCGGGGCTGAAGGACCGGCCGGGGCCGCACTGCCACTGACCCGCTTCGCCACTGTTCTGCCAACACGGCAACCGGCTAGAGGGGGGAGACAGTTCATACGGCGCACAGGCAGACGCATCACTGGATACAGTGGCTTCACGGAAGATATGATCAGATTGTTGTGAAGATATGATCAGATTATGGGCTTGTGTTACATGTAGCTTAATATGCGTTTCCGTTGCTAAGCTCGGGCCTCCACAATTCTTCTTGAAGGAATAGTCATCCGACTCGTGGTTATAGTTGGTGGGAAAGAGGCGCCATTACCTACATGCCCATGTCAGAATATACACAAATGTAGCCGTATCGTATTTGAGGCTGGACCCATCTATGGAAGAGAATGGCAACAAAACATTTGGTGGTGAGCGAGTTTTTAGTATACTGGCGATCAATACAACACAACATCGGTCTTTGGGCATACCTACCTATACCTACCCACGTCTATGCACCCCACTCCCCAGCCCCCCCCCCCCCCCAACGGTTCAATGCCTGATGCTTAATCGTGCGAAATAAAAATAAATAGGGGAACAGCTGTTTAACATACAATACTGGATACCTTGACGACTAAGGGCGGTACACTGCACAGGTTCCAGGATTTTGCAAGGTTGCATTACCTATCTTTTGTTCAGTGGTCAGTTTTAGCCGGTTTAGGTCATTTAAAATAATGATAGTAATGATAATAATAAGGGGAATAAATGCAACCAGCTTGGAAAAAGGCAGAAAAACTTACATCACAAAACATAAGATAGTAGGTGACTCAGCACGAATTTAAGCAGCCCACATACCGAGAATTCATTTGCTTTGAAATACCAAACAGGAAGACGGTAGGCCGGGTTCAGGGTTGGGTATTTGACGGTGGTCGGTGAGCATTTAGGGAAGAGTATACCTACTGTACCTACCCACCCATACCCAGCTAATGCTGGGGCACATAAAACTTAATGCTAAGCGAAAAGCTGCCCTCAGCAGTTTTTAATTAATACGTGTTTGAATGTTGTAAATGTGTCATCATCTTAATTGCGATCCTTAAACATTTTGTTCTGATAAAATCTTTCTTAACTCTCGCAAGAATAAACATTTTTTATGACAACTTGAACTAACCACTAAAAGCCTTTTTCCAAACCATTGCAAAAAGACTCTTTAGACGCAACATGCCCTAATCGCGCCTCTCAGGGCCCTGAAGAGAAATGCCTATAAAAGTATCACTTCACTTTAGTTTTTGTAGTCATCGGCAGGTTGAAGTCACTTCATTTAAGTGCTGGTCATGACGACGATGGCCATTTACACTAAACGTCTGAGCCAAATGAAAATAGTTTAATATACTTACCTATACCCATCACAAGTTCTTACCTAATCCACGCACACCTAATCCTACCGTTAGGTATACATAGTTTGTGTGACGGATGAGCAAAAGTGATTGAGTACCTACTACCTATGTATTGATAAGGTGCAGATGATAAGTGATGAACATCTGCAGGTGTTTGTTATACCTTCTCTGTGTAACTTGAATAAAGAAATGCTGTAGTTATTCTGGTATCACAGAAGTTAGTTTCGTTTTTTTACATTTAATTGGGTCTGTCATGACGTGTCAAAGGAATCCAAATGCTTGCTGCCAATAACGGCATGCATACTTTGACATCGGAAATCTTGGATCGTGTTTGAATGGTAGATAGTTATGTCATGGAGTGGTAAGGTATATATGAATCCCCAAACACAACAGTGCAATAAATGCATCTGTCAATACACCTACAAACAGACCGATCGCTGTCACACTGTCATAATCCCGCCGGCAGCAGATGGTAATCCGTGCGGAGACGATGTGCTCATAATCCATACCAATCAGTATCCATTAGCTGGCCGCGCCACACACCTCATCCAGCGTAAATTGCCCATTGCTGTCGGCACACATCTCCATACCAGACGCGTGTAATCCGGTTGTTTGAGCGTGGCCGGCGGCCGGGGCGGCGACACGCGCCGGCCGGCCGGCCTCTGCAGCGCCGCCGCCGCCGCCGCCGCCGCCACTAATCCCGCGGTGCGCGTTTATAGATGAGTTCCAATGAGGCGCGCTGCCTGCAGTTCATTCAGCCGGCCAATAACCAGCAATCGACCGGCCGCGCCGCGCCGCCGCCACCGCCGCTGTTTTTCTTTTCACTCAGCAAGCCGATTACGGCTTTCTATATCTGCGAGGGCGCTGGCTGGCGGCGGCCGGGCCGAGTTGACGGTGCGGGCCGCGCCGGCTAGGGAGCCGATTCGATGGGGCGGCCCGGGGCCGGCCAGCCCGGGACAGACGGCTGGGCGGGGCTGAGGGGCCCGGCCGGTCCGCACTATACCAAGGACAGACGAGGCGGCGCCTGCTGGGGCCGGCTCACAGGACAAATCCAGGAAATGGCCACAAAATTGAACTGAGTATGAGACTGCTGATGTGGAAGATCTAATAGCTATTTTGAGGGATGGTGAGGCTTAAGTTAAAAATGGAACGGTGATAGCTGAAGATTGTGTTTACGATTTGACGAAGCATACAATAAACAAAGCACAATATACATCATATGTTCGCTCTTTGCCCATGACAGCCTGCATGAGCGAATGGACAATGGAATGGACGAATGGTATTACCTACCTACACTTTACCTACAGGCTACACGCAAGCGAGGAACGGAAATTACCTTTTTCATGTTTCAAGATAGAACCAAAGAAATCAACTTATTTCAAAACGCCTATAAGTATGTAACCCACAATTTTGAGCCGTCTTGGATTTGCTACATAAAGCACAGTCAATCCATTTCCGGATTTCCGGATTCGGTCGCCGTGCCAGTCTGGACGCTGGCCGGCTGACAAACCGGCGGCCGGCCTTGTTGGCCAGCTCTGTCGGCCACTGTCAACCCGTGTCATTCCGTGTCAGCCCGTGCCAATCGTGTTGGCCCGGCCGCGGCACGTCGACCGTTGGCGCCTGCCGTGCCGGCTGTCAGCGCGAACTGCCAAGCGCGGACTCGGTCCGCCGCCGCCGCCCCCTCAACTCCCCCGCGGACCTTTCTCCATTGAGCGCGACTCTATCCATTTGTGGCGACAGCGCAGTAAATAGTTGTCATAAATGCGGCCGCTATGCAAATGGACACGTTTCGTTCCGGCTGTCACCACTCTGAGCACAATGCGTCGTCTGTCGCCTCGGCCGGCCGGAGGGAGAGCTGCCCGCCAGCCGCCGTCTATGGCCGCCGCCCGGCTGGGCCAGCAAATCAGCCACACATGATTGGCCCATAACCAGTGATTGAGCCGAAATTGGCCCAAGATCGGCAGCGGCGGCAATCCGAGGCGTCCCGGCGCGTCGTCGGGGACCGGGCGACACAAAGCGACGCGTCGTCGCCGGCGCGCGCCGCCGGCCCGCCGCATTCCGTCGATGTCAATGCCGGCGGCGCGCGCTTTGATAGCGGCGCGGCGTGCAGGAAGTGGGCGGGTTCCGGCGCGGCGGCCGGCAGCACGTGCCCTGCTCCGGTGTCGGCGCGCCAGCTGGCGGCCAAGTTCACGGCGGGATGTGGAGCAGTGGGGCCCGGCCGGCCAGCTGGGCGACCACGCCCCCTTCCGGCCGGCGCCCGCACACACCGCTCATGAACGTTAAAAGGCCGCGCCGCGCGACGGCTGCCGCTGGCGCACTGAATGCGCCAGATGCAGATGGGCGGCTGCAGAATGGGCCGCCCTTGCCGACAGCTTCATTGAACGAGCCTTCACCTGCCCCGGTGGAAGCTCACGGCGTGTTTGGATGTCACTGTCCCATCCCCGTTACCGGCATAATGACAGACAGTCGCTGCCTACACCATCGAAAAGCTATACATTTTTAGATAGTTGTGTGTGATATTGTTCAAGGTACGTCACACAGCATTCACTGTACCTACCGGCGCACTGGAGCGGTGGTCAGGCGTACCGAACGATAGCGGAGCAGTGCTGGGGTGTAGCAGCCGATTGGAGAGCGGTCGCCGGCGTGAACTGACCGGCCCAGTGGACCGGGCGCGGGCAGGCATTGTGCGCGGCCCATCCGGCCGGCGCTCTCAGCCGGTGAGCCGGCCCCGCGCGGCCCCGGCTCGGCGGCCTCTGAATGAAGCCGGCCGGCGCCGCGGGCCGAGCACCGGGCCCGGCCGAGCTGCCAAACACGATTACATTTAATAAAGCCGCGCCGCGCCGGATCACCGCTCGTTGAACACGCATTATAGGGGATTAGAGACAAGTAGACAAGATGTTTAGGCCGATGAGATTATGGGCCGAGGCGAGAGCGGAGAGACAGAGGAGAGAAGAGGGAGGAGAGAGCCGCCGCGATCGCTCATTTTTCGGATCACGTTCGGGGAGAGACCGGACGCAGGTTTCCGTTAAATAAAGCTCACCGGAGTTATCATTCCTTTTATAACTTGATACGGGAAACTTGAGCCAGACTGTGCTGGAGGAAAAATAATAGAAATCAATTACGTTCACTATCTAGCAAATGGACGGAAGCTCGACTTTTTGTGTATAGCTGCTTAGTCTGCTCAGTACTCATGTTCGCTGGAATTTCTTGGTTGTAGGGCCTTTTATCTTTAATCAGACATAATATCCATCAACAATGTCAATTGTAATCACAGTAGGTAACCACTTGGAACTCCGAACATAAGACGAGCTGAGCATTAGCCATCTGACCCCACCGATGATTATAAATGAATGATTTAAATATTAAAATATTTATTTTAGATTTTAAAGTTTTAGGTAAGTGAATTAAATAGATTGATTCTAAACTTCAAGGTAGTTGAAAATTAATAAGTTCTCGCAGAAAAGTAAATGCTTAG